AGTGGACGTAGTGGATCCTGAAGGAGCGAGATTATAAATTTAACCCACTAAACCAATGTAGAGGACACAAACCACAGCCAAAAAACTGCATGAATGTGACATTTCAATGGCAAAAACTCTAACGACAAGTTATCAAATGAACGATGAACGGTTTAGTCATTGCACGTGAAGTGGAATGGAAACATTGCTAATCAATGAGGCACCACAAGTGAAACAACTTTTAAACAAAAGAAAATATAAGTGAATAAAAATATGCACCAGAGTTGCTCACCTCTTCCATCACCAGCTTGACAGACTCGCTCACAACTTTCATCAATCTTTCATCATCTACACCGCAGTCCCTGATCTCTTGGACAGGGACATCACCGACATCAGTCAGCACTCTGGGGTCAGTAAGTTCTTTCCCTGCATTAGCAAAGCATTGTCTTTCACTAGGCATGTGAATTGTAGACAAATTGCATAATTTCAGCTAATATTAGCTATCAGGAAAGGGGGTTAGACACAGATGTCAAGTGCAAGCAACAACAAAAGATTAAGTTACAATTGTTGTTTTATATTAAGAATAAATCAACTTTATTGCTATTCCACATTAGCAAATACTAAATTAAACTTCCCAGAGATGACGGAAGAGAATACCTTCTTCAGTAGTTGGATTCGTACTCCCGCACCAGATGGCCTCCCTGATCCGAGGAGGTGCAAATGCTGGACCTTGAAGGAATGATGAGTTATGTCCTAAAGGAACTCCAAGAAGAGACGCTGATGCTACAGCACCTCCTAAAGCACGCACGAGCTCACCCTAGGAGGAAAACAAGTGCAAAACGTCAACGTCGTAATTGGCTGGAAAACTCAAGTCTCAAAGACTCGTATTTTAGGAATGACTAAATCACTCTCTCCTGCATCATGCTCATAACCCACCCTCACTAATCCTTAATGAGGCTTCACCTACCTAAGACAAACTTTGAGAAACGACGAGATTTTTAAATTATTAAATATTCGACCGGAAGGCTTAAGATCTCCAATCCTTGGGGTCACTATCTAATCAGTTTGATTAAGTTGCCTAGATTTTGTTTGGTAAGAACGAAATCACAAGGAACCTGATCAATAAAAACATGAGAAACAAGAATAATTATTCGATAAACCAGCATACCTTGAGCTTTGCTCTCTCGCGAATGAGTGTTAGAGAAGCTTCAATAACACGATTTTGACCCTTCTCAATCAATGCAGTGGGAATGTTTGCTGCATTTAGTTTCTGAAAGTAATGAATTCCTCTCCGCCCTAAAACTGACATTTCTGTGAACAAAATAGTATATGTGAATTAAAATTGGGCAATTAACTTCTAATTCAAAAGGTCAGGGAAGAACAACTTACTCCACCTAATGAGCTGAGATCAATTATAGCTATCTTGAAAAGAAGTGTATCAAACCCAAATTCTATAGGTACAATAAATAGCCTCTTTGCTCTATAGAAGAATCTAGCGGAAACCTGAGCCTACGGTGAGCTTGGAAGCTAACGAGTTTGAAAAAACAAAACCATTTATATCTTACCAACGTGCTTGCAAAAGAACCATAACCAAAACCCATAAATTTTCTCTGCCTACAAATCAATATATATGGTGAAACGGAAATCTGAGGTTGTAAGGGAAGCGACAGACCACTGAGCAAGCTCAGATTCAAGGAAAAAAAAGTAATTGTAATAGATAGCGAAAGAAAATCAGGTAGAGATTCATATTTTAACAATTTTCTCTTCGAGAAAACGCCATTCCTAAACAAACAACAAGATTACCATACTTCAGGCAAGAAATTACAAACAATCGGTGTAAATCAACCTCAAGCAACCACAACTAACAGCGAAGAATCTCAAATCAGAGAAAACCAAGAGCGAAAGACAGTGTAATTCGCAATTCGTGAAATCCAAATGATCTTTTAATCATCCAAACACAAAAGCTCGCCAAAAAGGTAAACAGTAATCATCTGCTTCCTTTTCTGTTCACTTTTCCTCAGAATTAAACCAGAATCATGAAATGAAAATGGAAATGGAAGAGGAGCGAAAGGATATCGGAAACTTACTGATGAAGAACGAGTTGATGGGGAGCGAAGGGCTGAAAAAGAATCGTATGAACGTTGTAATGCAAGGCAGAATAACCAAGAAAAAGTGGCAGAGCAAAGAGCACGCTTTCCAATGGCTGCCCTGTGACAATTAAAAAGTGCTTTTTCTTGAATTCTGGAATTTAAACAATATTTCTTGTTATTTCTTGTTTTGTTTTTTATCCAATTTTGATTACAAATTAGTTTTTATAAATGGTTTAGTTTTTTACAATTGATTTACAATCATTTTATTTATTAGGAAATATTTAAACTTTTAGCTCATTTCTAAAAATAATTTAGTTTTAAAAGCTTGGGATTTTTAAAGCTTTATAAACTTAATTTTGTAAAAACTAAAAAATTTAAAATCAAAACTAGTCCAAAAAAATTAATAAATTTTTTAAAATATATATTTAATTTATTTTTACAACAAAATTATCAAATAAATAAATAATCCGGGATCTTCTGTCAATTATACTGGTCGTGCTGAACTTCAGTTAAATCTTGGATCTTCTGCCAATTATGTTGGTCGTGGTGGTCAACAGAAGAATCGTGGGCGTAGGGATCGTGGTCGTGGTCGTTCTCAAGGTTATGCACCCTCTCGTCCTGCTGGTGATCGTCGTGGCCCTTCTGCTCGTCCTTCCTGCCAGATCTGTGGCAAAGTGGGGCATATTGCTATCTGCTGATGGTATAGGATGGATGAGTCCTATCAAGATAAACCTTCTTCTTCTCCTCGTGCTGGTCTTAACGTTATTGATTGCAAATGAGTTTTCAAACTCAAGCTAAAGCCAGATGGCTCTATTGATCGCTACAAAGCATGCCTGGTTGCTAAAGGTTTTAAACACCAGTATGACGTTGATTATGATGATACCTTTAGTCCAGTTGTTAAGTACACTACCATTCGGCTCTTATTGTCTCTTGCTATTTCTCGTGGTTGGGCTATTCGGCAGATTGATATTCAAAATGCTTTTCTTCATGGCTTTCTTGAAGATGTTTATATGAACCAGCCACCTGGATTCGTGGATTCTCAACACCCTGGTTATCTCTGCAAGTTGGAAAAGTCGCTTTATGGCCTTAAACAAGCTCCGCGTGCTTGGTTTTTTCGCCTTAGCTCCAAACTATTATAACTGGATTTTACACCTTCAAAGGCTGATGTTTCTCTTTTCATTTTTAACAAGACGGGCATTCATATGTATATTCTCATCTCTGTTGATGACATTATTATTATCCACTCATCTTCTACGGCTACTGAGAAACTTACACAGCTTCAGAATGATTTTGCCGTCAAGAATATTGGCATTTTGAGTTATTTTCTTGGGATTGAGGTCCGATATACTTTCAATGGACTTATTCTAACACAACATAAATACATTCAATATTTATTGTCCAGAACCAATATGCTCACCTCCAAAGGTGTGCCCACACTTATGTTTCCCAGTGAGAAGTTGTTATTGGATGGTGGTGAAAAGCTTTTGCTTGAGGATACTACTCGCTGTCGGAGTGTTGTTGGTGCTCTCCAATATTTGTCTTTGACACGTCCTGATATATCATTCTGTGTCAATAGAGTGTGTCAGTTCATGTCCTGCCCAACATCTATACATTGGACCGCAGTCAAACGAATTCTCCGTTATCTACAGGACACTATTGATATGAGTTTGTGTCTTACAAAGTCCAGCACTGATTTGTTGAGTGCCTTTTCGGATGCTGATTGGGCTGGGAATCCTGATGATCATTGAAGCACTGGAGGCTATGTGATCTTTTTTGGTGGCAATCTTATCTCTTGGAGTTTGAGGAGACAATCAATAGTTTCTCGTTCTAGTATAGAGGCCGAATATAAGGCGGTTGCTGATGACACTGCCGAATTAATTTGGATCCAAGTTCTCTTGCGTGAGCTCGGGATCTCGCAAGCGCGAGCACCTAGCCTATGGTGTGACAATATTGGTGCCACCTACCTGTCCGCCAATCCAATCTTTCATTGACGGACGAAGCATGTTGAGGTTGATTATCACTTCGTTCATGAACGAGTATCGACTCGTCAGCTTGATGTTCGACTAATTTCTTCCAAGGAGCAGCTCATCGATATCATGACAAAGCCATTGCCAGCTCCTTCTTTTAGCAATTTTAGGCGCAATCTGAACTTAGTAGTACATCGTCCAGATTGAGGGGGGTGTTAAACGTAAAATAAATCATATCTATACATAGTAAGATAATCTAGTGTTAATAGATCATATATGTATATAGCAAGATAATCTAGTGATTTACTAGTTTGTTACCAAATCTATGATTTCATAGTTTTGTTATCAAATCTATGGCTTCATGGTTCGTTACTAAATCTATGATTTAGAATATAATCTTCGTTATACACATCTATAAATACTGACCGTAAGTGAGGTCATTGTGCCATTCAACTTAACACTTATGACTAAAATTTATTTTAATTTATAATAAAATGGTTGAATATTTTATGTAATAATATTTTCGATACAACATCGACATCATAAACAAAACCTAAGCAAACGGGTACTAAATATTTCTTGATTTATCGATGTTAGCTCTACGCCAACCGAACATAAGAATGAAGTTTATTAGTCGCCATCCAGATTTAGTATATTTTTTTTAACCTTACCCTTACCCATTATTTCTTCACAAATTTTATATAATTTTTTGAATTCAGCGAAATTAAGCTAATGAAAATAACATTTTTTAAAAAATTTAAATTTAAATTTGCTTGAATTTAGAAAAAAAAAAAAAAAAAAAAAAAGCGGGGCTTTGAATTGGGCTTTGAGCTGTGGGCTTTGTACTTTGGGCTTTTCCACCGACTCAATTTTGAATTGTAGAGAGTTTGATTAAATAAAAGAAAAAAAAATACAGAAATTAGGTCTATAAATGGAACCCTAACAGCCGATTCAATTCCAAAAACGAAACGTTGAAGAATGGGAATTTCCGCAACGGTCACATTGGCTGAGAGAATCAGACAAAAAAGAAGCACTGCGTAGGGAAAGAGGAGAATCAGAGTGCCGTTGCTCGCCAAATGGCTAAGCAATCAACGGAACTTGCAGAGGATGAACGCCTGGAACTCATTGCATGAAGGATTAGCTTGAATAACGCCTCTTCATCACGAAACTTTACAAAATCTGGAGTTATGTAGATATTTGGCCAAGCTTTCCACCCGAATCTGTGCAAATGAAAAGGAATTTTTCTAATCATCCTTGGACTGAATCTGAAGTGAATGTGGGAAACCTTCGCATGGTAAGATTTATTAGGTGTTCTATTAATTTTTTTTCATTCTTTTAGCATTGATTGAGAGTGGAATTTGCGAGATTGTTTTGTAGTTATTTTATTTTCCATGGTAAGATTTAAATTGTTCATATTCTGTTCCCTGTGGCTGGAATTTGCGAGATTGTTTTGTAGTTATTTTATTTTCTATGGTAAGATTTAAATTGTTCATATTCTGTTCCCTGTGGCTGGAATTTGCGAGATTGTTTTGTAGTTATTTTATTTTCTATGGTAAGATTTAAATTGTTCATATTCTGTTCCCTGTGGCTGGAGTTAGCGTATTGTCATTAAAGAAAGTGTTGAGAAGAATGAATATTTGTGTAGGAAACGATGTATTATATGAATATCGAACTGTTATGTGTATTTCTAGGCGCAGAAGTTCTTTGTTACTTTTGCTATGTTCTTCTTGGCCTTTGGCCTTTTACTTTTGCTGTGTCTTCATCTCCACTGCTCTGTTCTATCAGTTCTCAAGGATTTTATTTCCTAGTAAATGGTGTCTGCATCTTTTCAAAGATGTTGATGATGATATAGTCATCAAGCTTGAGACATGTAACGATCTTTCTGCTTGCTTTTTGCCAGGCTCTATACTGGAATCCATGCAAAGCCAAAACCGAAGTTCAACTTAATACAGATCTCAAAAACACATCTGCTGTTGTACTGTCATCGGCATGTTCAATTGCGAATTCTAATACCGGAGGTGGGCAGGAGCAGCAGCCAAACATTACAACACCACCAGCCTTAGAGTCGGGAGTCGGGGGCTCTCCAGGGTAGCTGCACGAGCAGCAGTGATGAAAAAACAAGATGGACTCTTGAAAATGCAGGGTGTCAAGAAGAAGATATATGCAAGAAAGAAAAGGTCGAAGAGATTGGTGATGTTTCACTGAGTGAATGAAACTTTTTGAATCTGAAAATGCAGGGAAAGGGGGAATGCTGAACCAGCATATCATCGTGATGAAGAAATTGATAAGGTGAAATCCTTTTGCCCATCTTTGAAGAATGTGGAAGCTAGATGATGTGAATATACATTGCGAATGTTTTTGCTATTTTATCGTCATTTTTGGGTACGAAGCATTAAAACTTTTGGACTTTTATTGTCATTTTTGACTAATTTATACAAGTATCTACAAATTTATGTATTGTCATGTTTCACCAAATGATGACGCTTGAAATATTTTGGTCATTGTCATAGGTAATACTCCCTCTTCCCTCTATGTGTTGTAGACGTGCAGGATGATCAAATGCTTGAAGTTCATCATATTTGTCACGATGAACATGGAGATTCGTGCAGTTGCTCAAATTTTCTGGATTTCTTCATTTGGGAATTCTTGTGAAGATGAGTTATGTGAGTATTTCTATTTTCTGTCATCGATTCACATTTCAATACTTGATTTTCCATGGAACAATTCTATTTCGGATTCCATGATGTGCGAATGTAAACCTTAAAAAAGGATCAATGAATAGTCTGGCTAAGAACTTATCGACCTTTGATTGTTTGCTGATTTTTATTGCCTTCGGTTAGCCTTTGGTTTCTTGAGCAGGAATCTGCTTACTAATTATTATACATGGGTGATAGGTATCACCCGTTTTTCATCGGAAAATGTTGCTAGTGAGATAAAGATTGACTTTATCTCATCTGCAAGTGAGTCTGGATCAAGCTCAAAGGTCAGTTGTTTATATTTAATCTCATCCATTTGGCTCTTCAAACATTGTGCAGAGAAAAAGAAGCACTGTGTAAGGCCATTTTGGTTCTAAAAGTACTTCTTGTGGTACTCATGCATCACTTAACGTCAACCATAGTTGTTTTTTTCCTTGTATTTTATAAATTTTCTAAATTTATTAAGGTTTGTTTTTTTGTATTATTTGTACATTGGTTACAAATTTTTGTCATGTGGGTTTGAATTTTGTTTGTTTGGTTTGATTTTCTCCCTTTTTTTTTTTTTTTGTGCATGTTTGCTTTTCGATCCGTTACTTTTGTATGTGAATTCTGTAATTTGTAATCTCAATTTCGCTAGTTTAATAGATTGCTACTCTCTTTTATTGTTTCCCTTTTCGTTCTTTCATTTTATTTATTTATTATGGTTTATGAGTAATTTTTTGTGATTGTTTGTTTGAATTTTGATTCCTTGTGATGCTCTCTGCTTGGTATGGTCTTGATTAGTATTGAATTTGAAGTGTTTGATTTTTTTTTGTTCAGTGTGCATGTTGTTTGGTATTCTATTTCTCTTTATTTGTAATTTCTTTAATTTATAATTTTTAGTGGAGTTTTGTTAATTATATTTTACTACTTTCATTTTTATTATAGATTGATTTTATATTTATATTTTTAATTTTTTTTATTATGTTTGTTTGAATTTTGATTTATTGTGATACTTCTGTTTAGTATTAAATTTGAAGTGTTTGATTTTTTTTTTCCTCTTTGTGCATGCTGTCTAGTTGATATTATTATTATTATTATTATTTTGTAAATTCTTTGATTTATAATCTCAATTTTGTTTTATTAATTTATTATGGTTTGTTTTTATATTTGTATTTTTACTCTAATTTTTTTGTGATATAGTACTGAATTTTCATATCTTGTGATGTTTTTGCTTGATATATCAAAGCTTTGTTGGCGCCGTTTAGTATTTAATTTGAAATGTTTGATTTGTTTATTTTTTATTTTTTATTTTTGCGTATGTTGTCTGTTTTGTTGATACTATTTCTCTGTGGTAAATTTTGTTTGTGAATTTTTTGATTTATAATCTCAGTTTTGTTAATTTAATTGGTTTGCTAGTTTCTCGTGGTTTCTTTTTTTATGTGTTTTGATTTTAATCTTTGGCATTTTTTATTTGAATTTTGATTGTTAATTATGTTTCACCTGGATACCATTTGTTTAGTGTTAAATTTGAAATGCTATTTTTTTTTTTTTTTTTTTTTTTTTTTTTTTTTTTTTTTTTTTTGTTTGTGTTGTTGTGGCTTTTTTTGTGTGTTAGTGAAGTTTCATTAATTTAATAGTTTTACTCTTTTTAATAAATCTAACCATTTGTTATTCTTTTTAATATTTTTTTTTCTTTAATTATATAAATTTATTGTAGTTTGATTGTGAGTTCTTTTAGTATTTGCTTTTGAATTTCTCTTTTTTGATGTTTTAGGTTGAAGTTTTGTCTTTGGTTNAAAAAAAAAAAAAAAAAAAAAAAAAAAAAAAAAAAAAAAAAAAGAAAGTGAAGCTTTCCAGTTGTAAGACCCTTTTTTTAGGTCCGTAGTGTTACAATTTCACTTTTTTTTTTTTACGATTTAATTTCGACACGTGAACATTTATTTATATGTCATTTCCTAGAATTTACTGTTCGTTAGTACTATACGAAAGGTAGAGAATGTTGTGATTATATCCGTGCATTGATCTTTTCAAGCTTCTCTCTTTTTGCTCTCTTTTTTCATTCATTTCATAAATTTATTGTGATTTACCATATCTATAATCTCAGTGGAGTTTATTTGGGAATGCTCCTCATTTAGTCAACTTAGTTACCAATTTTTCTATTAATTCTCTACTCTGCACAAGTTGTTACAACTTCGAAAACTTAACCTAGAATGAAAAGTACGGGACAAAACAAGGATGGAGGCAGCTAGATAAGTAAGTTTATACATCATTATTCTCCTTTATCTTATATTATCTTCTCATTTTTCTATTTCTATATCACTTCATGTATACTTTATGTGATTTTACTTTTGTTGAATTAAAATTTTGAAAGATATTTTATAGGTTTCACCGTATCTAAACAACTATTAACGTTTTGTAGTTATACTTTAATATGTTAACTTCTAGATGTTGTCCTCAATTCACACTCCAGTACCTCTGCTTGTATCCAACATCAGGAGGTAGCATCTACTCATTTACTATACGCGTGCGGAGATTGTTCATATTTATAAAGATCATTCTTATGTTTAGGGTTAGCTTCTAAATGGTTGTCCTCAATTCACACTCAAGTATCTCTACACAAATCCAACATCAGGAGGTAACATCTACTCATTTACTACTATACGCTATGTGCAGAGATTGTTCATATTGTGCAGAGATTGTTCATATTATAAGGACTATCCTCGTATCTTTTAAGAAAATTCCAAATCATGTTTTTTATGCAGAAATAAATGGCTGTTTTATGAGTGATAGCCACCATAAAAAGTTCTTTCAAATATTATAACAAAATGCAAATGTCCATATAAGTTATTATTTTCCAGTTTATTGTTTACTTTTTTTTATTTTTGTCATGCATGTTGTTTGAGTTCTTTATTATGTAATCTAAGTGCATGTTGTTGTTTGTTTTGTTGATCCTATTTTGATATCTTATTTCTCACACTTGTGTGTTTGTGATTTCTTATTTATAATTTAAGTGAAGTTTTGTTACTGGAATGATTTGTAATTTTCTTCCATTTCATTCTTTTTTCGTATTTTGATTGGAAATCTTTGACATTGTTTGTTTGAATTTTCTCCCATTTCAATTTTTTCCTATAAATTTATAAATTTATTGGAGTTTTCTTTTATATATTTTGATTTTAAATCTTTTACCTTGTTTATTTGAATTTTGATGGTTTGTAATATTTTTGTTCAGTACGGTTCATTCTTACTTTCTATGCTCTTGTGAGATTTTCATATGTAATTTTTGTGGCTTTTTGTTTTCTATGCTCTTGTCACATTTTAATCTGTAATCTCTATGACATTTCATTACATTGATTTGGTACTCTCTTTAATATATATTTTTTTATTTTCCTTTAATTTTATTAATTTATTGTGTTTGGTTTGGATATTTGTATATTAATTCTATATTTCTGTTTTTTTTAATTTTGATTATTTGTAATATTTGTGTTTTGTACAGGTATGGTTTAGAATTTTGATTCTATTTCTGTTATTGTTTTGCAACTATTTCCATTGGTTTATTTTTTTCTCTTTTATTATTTTTTTTTCTTTCATTCATTTTATATTATTTATTGTGAGTTGATTTTATATTTATATTATACTTGATAATCTTATTTCATTTGAATTTGAAATATTTGATTTTTTTTTTATTATTATTTGTGCACGTTGTTTATATAAAGTTTTGTTAGTTCTATAGTTTGGTTTTAGCAATTGTTTGATTTTCATGTGTTGTGTTTTTGTTTTGTTGTTTGTTTTGTTGTTCATATTCATTTGATGACTTTGTGAGCTCTTTGATTAGCGTTCATTTTCATATGTATGTTTCTATTTTTGTGTATGTTGTTTGTTTTGTGGTTCATATTTGATGACTTTTTGTATGAGTTATATGTTCCTATTTTTGTGTATGTTGTTTGTTTTGTGGTTCATATTTGATGACTTTTTTTTGTATGTGAGCTTTTTGATGCTAGTTCAATGGTTCATTGCTATATTTTATTGTTACATTTTTTTCATTTTATAAATTTGTTATGATTTATTTTTATATTTATAATTATTTTGCTTAAATTTTGATTGATAGTCGGGTGGTTTATCATTTGTGTTTGTGTTTGTTTTTGTGCTTGTTGTGCACGTTGTTTTCTCTGTTGATCCTACTTTTCTTTTCTTGTGAGTCTTGTTTTGAGTGTTTTTTTATATGTGATCGGTGTAGTTTCATCGATAATGTACTTGTTTGATACTCTCGATCATACTTCCCTGTTTTTTTTACATTTTTCAATTTTATTGTAGTTTGTTTTGATATTTATAATTGTTTGTTTGAATTAAGATAGTTTTGTGCTTTTGCTTGGAATGATTCCATTTTAGTATTTAATTAGACTCAATCTAGCTTGATGATACAAAAATGAAAATAATAATAATAATAAATACATAAATAATAATTTTAAAATATGATAACCGATCTTTCACCTCTCATGGCCTAAAATAACTTTGTCAATAGGTGCTTCATTGTATTTGAATTAGGGATTAATTAAATGAAAAGAAATTAGAGGCCTAAAATAACTTTGACAAGGTGCCTATTCGAATTAAGGATTAATTAAATGAAAATAAATGAATTAGGAATTAATTAAATGAAAAAAAGGAGTGATATTAATTTTCATTTTATTTGAATTAGAGATTAATTAAATGAAAAGAAAATTGTGATATTAATATGTTGTACTTAATTAGTTGAATTAGGGATTAAATAAAAAGAAATTTGTGATATTAATATGTTGTACTTAATTAGTTGAATTAGGGATTAAATAAAAAGAAATTTGTGATATTAATTTTATATTAGTTAGTTTTGAATAAGGGATTAAAGAAAAAAAATTGTAATATTAATGTAGTTATATATAATTAAGTTAGTTTTGAATTAGGAATTAAATGAAAAGAATTTGCATGAGTCAAAATATCCTAACCATTTTTAAAAAAAAGTAATTGAAAACTTAAAATTTTAAAAAGAAAATGTATGAATATTAAGAAAATAACATAGGAAGAAAATATATGATATTAAGAAAAAACATAAGAAGAAAATATATGAATATTAGGAGGTATTAATGAATATTAAAAAGGTAATTCACGAAAAAAAAATATAATATCTGAAAAATGCTGGTATTTATTAGATGGTTGGTATGAAAATAATATGACTTAACTGGTGTAAAAACTATTTGAAGACTTAACTTAGATTTAACCTGTGTAAAAATTCTAACGTTGGTATGAAAATAACATTATAACAAATATATATAAATATTTTAAGACTTAACTTGGACTTAACCGGTGTAAAAACTCTTATAACAAACATATATATAAATATTTTAAGAACAAATATATATAAATATTTTAAGACTTAACTTGGGTAAAAACTCTTATAACAAACATATATAAATATTGTAAGACTTAACTTAGACTTAACTTATATAAAAACTCTAATGTTTGCATGAAGTATAACACATTGACTAATGTAAATTAGAGAAACAATTTTGTAGACGTTCAAATTTAAACTAATATCATGAGCTCACATAGGTTGACTTGGATTTTAATGGACAGAATCGAACTTTTATCAAGGATAAATAAGTAACATCAGTCTGAGCTAATCAGGTAAATGGTCTTACTATCGACATTGTTATATTTGATGTTGACATGTGTTTCGTGGTAGTACACGTGTCATATATATTGATATGTGTGCATTGTTTGTGGATCGATATGCTTATGGTATGTTATAGTATGTGAGTTGTTTGATAATACTTAAGGTACGATGGGTTCGATGATATGTTTGATATGTATCAAAAATACCCATCAACTCTCCTATTTTAAAACAAACTCTTATAACTTTTTAAAAAATTCATTAATACCCATTATATATATATATACATTTATTGTTCATAATATACGTACACAAAGTAATTAAATACGGTACCAAAAAAGTCGGGGTGGAAATTAAATTTTACTAATCCTATTTTGTATACCAAAAACTTGTCATTCTTTAGCCAATAAAGAGGAGAGAACTTATCTTGTTCATTTGTGTATGCGACGAAAAAAATAATACTAGCTCTTTCTTATAAGTTTGGTTTTGTTTTGATTTAAGTTTGATTCTCTCCTATATTTGTAGTGATAATCATTTTTAATGGTAAAATTAGGACATTTTTAATAGTAAAATTAGGACAAAATTTATAAAAGTACTTATATACAACAATAATTTATTTACTTAAACACAACAATAATTTACAATAAATCATAAGTTTAATTTATTTAAAAAGCTATTGTTGACCTATTTATTTGGTCTAAAAACTTCTAGACTTTTTAGGAGTTGGTTTTGCCTTGGGAAAGGATTGTATAGACCTACAAGCATCCTCAACATAGTTTGACTTGCCAAGCTACCTGCACCTGTCTGGTCCGATCGTTTAGCGGCTCGATTGAGTTCAGTCTCTTTCCTTATTAATTACCTCTAGCAAAAAATAGCTCAAAATCTCGGAAACGTGTTCAGTTCTTTGATCCATTCCGTGGTGCGAAATCCCTCATTGGATCCTCATACGGCTCCTCGTTCAATTCTTTTCAAGTCATTGATTCTTTTTTGTTTGAGTATTTTGTATACCAATAGCCAATTGATTAAAAATTATATCGATAAGAAGATTAAAGAATTTATTTTGTTCATTTGTGGATGTGACCATAAAAATAATATCCGGACAAAATTTATAAAAGTACTTTTAATTTATTTAAAAGTTTGACTGTTAACACATTTGTATGAAATGTACCGAAACTTTCATGACTAATTGGATATACTAAAATTTTGTTATTTATTTATATAAAATTTTGATAATAATATATTAATTTATTTTTATTTTGAATAAACTCAGTACACTTAGTTTAACACTTATTATTTAATTTATATAAAATCTTAATATATATTTAATTTATTCCGACAAAATGATCCTTAAATAAATGAATTAATTATTTCCTAAAATTTATTTTCCCAATAGTTAATTAGAATAGAGTAATAAAATTGTTAAAAATATTTTATTTATATGAAATTTTGATAACATCTTTCATCCAACATTAAAATATAATTTTTTTTTCAAAGGAAATATAAATTTAATAAAAGAAAATGAAATCGATTATATAAAATATTTCGATATATTTTAAAAAATATATTTCTTTTTATTTTTTTTCATAAAATATATTTAATAGTTTAATACCAAAACTAAATAAAATTACATAAAGAATATTTTAATCTGGGATTTTATCGATTACTTGAAAATGAAAAAGAAAACAATAATTCAATAATTTGAAATTGTATGCTGAGAAGATGGAAATAAAGAAGATAGAGGAGAAGAGTGGTAAGCAAGTCACCTTTTTCTCAGCTCTCTCTTCTCTCTGCACCTGAGGTTCCCATTCTTCTCTTCTCTCCCGCCGGTAAGCTCTTTTGATGCGGTCAGCCGGAAGGGATGTGAGAGTGGAAGAATTGAAGGAGTTTCGATTGCCATTGATGGGTTTGAGAGCCTGGAGCGGAGAAATTCGAGAAATCGACGGCGGTCCGAAACCGCCGCCGCCGACTTCGCCATTTAGCCTCGGCGGAAACTACCATCAATGTCCGCCTCCGACGGCGTTTCACGTCGCTGGAAACCACCAATTCGCGACGGGTTAGGATTTTTCTAGGTTTTGGGGAAGAAATCAAAGAACATTATTAATAACTGATTGCTTCTTCCTTGCCAAGATCATGCTCTTGCTTGAAGTCAGCTCTTAGCCATCAGTCCTGAAACTACAATCCACGAAAGTCAGACTCCTTTAATTTTAAAACAATCAACCACAGAATTATGAAAATCTAAGGCAAAACTCCCACTGTTGACGACATAAACATAATCGAGACAAACAAAATAGCCATAACAATTTAAGTTAACGAACCTTTACCACTCTCCCGATCAACAAACAACAAGAAACAGAAACCAAGAACACGAAATTAAACTCAAGGACTCGAATTCGAACGATCAATCAACGAATTAACGAAAAAGAAACTCGGCAGATTGGCAAGTAGACCATGGAATTAAGAGAACTAACGAATATAACCAACGATCATCAAGGGGAAAAGAACAAACCTACAAGGGAGTTGATCAAAATTAATCGACGAGTGAAGCCTGGTGAGAGTTAAAAACGGAGCCGAATATCTCGAAAATGGTTTCTTCCGGGTCGAGAGAATTTTGCGAGAACGGAGATTCGAGAAGTACGTAGGCTTAGCTATAAGTGGCAACCTCAGGAACAAAAGCATCAGTAGCTCCACCTTCTCTGATCAACAATCTTTTACCAATAATCTCCACATGAACAAACCCCATCATGAAAATGATGAAATCGTTTCATATCCCGCAGAATGATCTCCCTCTGGCTCATTTTACTGGCATATTTCATGAATGAATGACAATCCACACAAACTCTAAGGTTTTTCACTATTCTAATCATCGTCTCCGGGGCTGTACTAATGAGCCCGAAAGCAAGCGCCAACTTCTCGCTGTGATGTCCCAGCGCTTCTTCCTTCTCTTCCTCTTCAATGTTATGAAGAACACACTCAATTCCTTTTGTGTATCCTTTTTCCCTGGCACTTGCATTTATCTCATCTAATTTCGAGTATATCTCTTGGGCACGATTATGTGTATTATCACCAGCCACAAATCTATGTAACTTATCATCCACTTCCATGAAGCTCCATCCTGGATCCTTTTGTGCACCTCGATCTCGCATTGAAACTCTCACTCTCTCTGCATCTTCCCATCTTCCTACAGCAGCATATGCATTCGACAAAAATACGTAACTCCCCGGATGCTTCGGTTCAAGCTCAAGAAGCTTTTCGGATGCTAATTCTGCCATTTTAATGTTCTTATGAGCCCTGCAAGCACAAAATAGAGCACCCCAGACCACAAAATCAGGATTGATAGGCATGTCTCGTATGAACTTTAGAGCTTCATCTAGTCTACCAGCCCTTCCTAGCATGTCTACAATCAGAGTGTAATGCTTCATAGAAGGCTCAATCAAGTAGTCTCGCCTCATACTGTCGAAAAACTCGAGTCCATCGTCTACTTGTCCAGAATGTGAGCAAGCAGTAAGAACAGCTAGAAACACCACCCCATCTGGCTTTGTTCCTGCAAACATACCGAGTTTTGAGTTATGGACAACAAAGAATAAACTTCAGAGAATAACAAACGCAAAATGAAGTTAAACCTGTAGACTTCATCCATTCAAAGTATTGTATAGATTTCTTAAAATGTCCATGGATAGCCCAGCCCCAGATCATAACACTCCAAGTAAGAAGACCCTTCTGTTTTATTTCACCAAACACCTCTCCTGCAGACTCAATGTTTCCACATTTTGCATACATATCCACAACTGCAGTTCCAATCGTTTGATTCAATTTGAAACCATGGCTTGAAAGGTATTTATGGATCCTTAAACCAGCATCTAAGGCACCAAGTTTTGCACAAGCTGAAAGTGCAGAGACAATTGTGTAATCGTTCGGCTGTGCGCCTTCTTCGAGCATACAAAAGAAAAATTGCAGTGCCTTTTCAGGGTCTCCATTCTGTGAAAATCCATTCACCATTGTAGTCCAAGAAACCACATTCTTTTCAGGCATTTTCTCAAACAGTTCGTTTGCTGGACCCAACTGCCCCTTTCTCATGAAGCCATTAATCAAACTATTCCAAGAACCTGTATCCTTCTTAGGCATTGTCTCGAATAGCTCCGTAGCTTTTACCAAATTCCCCACTCTACAATACCCATGAATAAGAACATTCCAAATCAACACATTTCCCTGCTTAATTCTGTCAGGACTTTCATCAAACACCTTCAAGGCAGAACCCAAATCGTCAACTTTCACGTACATGTCCACCAACGAAACCCTCACAAAGGAATCAAATTCAAGTCCAAATTTCACAATCCCAGAATGCAAAGCACTCCCAACGCCACCATTGGACAGAGCCGCCGCTGATTTGAGCACAAACGGAAAAGTAAGCCTATCAGGGCTAATTTTCCACCTCAGCATGCAAACAAAGTAAGAAATTGAGCTCTCGAACCTGGAATTTTCAGCGAGTCCTCGAATCAATGCATTGAAGAGGAAACTATTCTTCAACTCGAACCGCTGGAAGATCAAAACCGCATAGTCGACAGAATTTAGCGAAGAACACGAAGAGATGAACTGGGTCACGACCCGGCTGCTGGAGAAGATGTTACAGCGGTAGAGTTGACCATGGATCTGACGGAGCTTGTGGGTCGAATCGGAAGCATGTATTAGATCGATGAAATAGGTTTCCAGAGATGAAATCTGAGGTGATGATGAAGAAGACGTTGAATTGAAGAAGGCAATCCTTGGCTTGAAAAGAACATGGAGATTTTTCATTCTGTTACTTCCAGTTCCATTCAGTAGAAGAAGCATAGAAATTATTGTATTGAATCTATCGATTTTGGATTTTGGAAAGATTAGAGAGAACCGTCAGCTTCGGGCTTTCCTTTCTGCCGTTTAAAAGAGCGGGAAAAGTTTGATTATTTGTTTATTTTTTAAGTTTAATCTAATTAACATTTTAATTAAATTACATGGTTGTGTTCAATTAACATTTAATTTTCTATAATAAAAAATATAATGTTATACTTACCCAAAAAAAAATTTAAAAATTATAATTTCTAAAAATTACAATTTCAAAATTACATGTAGTGTTTAGTTTTATGGGTTAGTTTTGATATATATTAATCCTTAAGTATAAAACTAAATTAAAATTAATAACATAAAATAACTTCAACAATCCCAATCCGACTAACCTACTTTGAAGAATTTATAGGCTGACGAACCTTAAAGATAAGGGATAAAAAGAGAACTTCAACAATTCTAGTCCGTCTGGCCTACTTTGAAGAATTCATAGACCGACGAGTCTCAAGGACAAGGAACGAACATTACTTGACTTGACTTGTTAAAACCCTACATGCACATATTAATCTAATAACAAACTTACTAAACAAACAAATTCAAGTTTAGAAACCATTACAAAAGTTTTAAAGGATAAATAAAAAGCATCAATTACTGAGAAAACATTGTTATTTAATGGTAAATGCCCTAAATATTTTTGCATGTAGTGTCACCAAATAACAAAATTTCAACATCAATCTGGACTATATCCACAGCAGCAGCAGCAAAAGAAAAAAGAAAAGATGATATGTTTTTTTTTTTCCTTCTTTTTTTAATTTATCTGTAACATGAAATTAGAGAACACCAAAGAAGGGATTCTTAATTGCAGAGTCGAGCTCAGAGCCAGCTGAATTAAGCACTGCTCTGTCAACTTTGTCTCTGGGCAGAAACAAGAACTCATCGCCTTCAATTTTCTCAAACCCACACAGCTCTAGAAACTCGATTCCTCCTCTCAGTGCACCCACTCTATCCTGTTGCATCCAATCAGTAATCCCAGTTTAGTTTCACTATAACGTAACAAGAAAGGGATGGGACTGCAAACGATGTGCTCGAGAATATATAAATTTATAAATTTAATCCTGAAGTTTAGTTCTTATACATTGAAAAAAAGAAATCAATTACAAGATTTAAATTATAGTTCTAGCCTCTAGGTAGTACCCAACTTCTAACTATGATGTGACAATTTTTACTACAAAAAAACATTTACTAATTTGATATGATACAACCAGAATGAAAGTGGCTGGACCAAATAATTAGAGCATGTGACACTTTCCAAACCCACATAATGAATCCCTTCTATGAAGATCACACCACTTACTTTTCAAACCCATATATCACTTCAGTTCAAATAAGCCAACTTTTGTCTACAGTACTAACAGGAAGAACTATATAGAATTACAATTTCAAAGTTAGTACGAAATAATAACTTCTAATATTTTGCGATTAAATAGACAATAGCAAGTCCCTGGATCAAATCTGTTATTTAACTATTTCTAGATAAAAAATTACAATGAACAAGAAAGAGGATAACTAATCATGCCACGGAGTGGCAGCAAGTATCACAAAATCAAGTTCACTGTCATAATGTTAATGGTCGAATGATAAATTCCAATGGAGAAAGATCATTCTTGCTTCATTGCTTGTTATATATTATGGGTCCAGCTGAAAACATATCATTGGTTTGCAAGTATGTGATATAATGAAGTATTTTGGATTAGAGAGTTATTCACCAGAAAAAAATCGTGGCAAAAGAGAAGCATAAAAAGGGCCATCAATATAAAAAAAAAAAAAAAACAGTCCCATTAATCATCCAATTGGGGCAGTTACCTGGAAAGTTTGGTTGCTGAGTCTAATCTTTCTGAACTTCTCTTCATCAGGATTTTTCACCACGTTTCCCACATAAGTTAGAAGGGTTTGAAACGCCCTCTTCACTTTAACATCATCCTCCTACCACAATAGAAGCAGTTCAGTAAGCCAAGCGGCCACTCTAATCAATGGAATTTACTTGAGAAATGAAAGATGAATAGAAATTATCATTTCAGTACTGACGTTCAAGAAATTAGGAGTGACGTCTTTGACTTGTCTAAGTTCACAACTTCTAACGGGTGTAAAAGTTCAATTTTTTTTTCAGTTATATCCAATAATATAAGTAACTGTACTTCTATGTGTGTGTGAGCACATATAGGCAAGTAATTGTAACTTGAGTGGGTTCTTGTGAATTCCTATTTTTGTTGGAGGGTTTTATGAAATCTCAAATATATTTACCTTGTGATTGGACTTTAATGATCGCAAACATTCTCTCATTTGCTCTGCTTTTGAAGCAGGTCTGACCGGCAACGAGAGCTGCAGTTCAAATAAACTAATATTTAATCACAGATACTCTATGCAATTCAGAAGTTAAAGAGTAGATACCGTATCCGGAAGGGCAGGCAATACCTTTTTCTCTTCAACAACTGGGGCGGGAGGTTTCGCAGTTGAAGGATCTTCTGCTGGCAACCCAAGTCTCCGTCTTCTTTCCGCCTGGGGAAAATAACTTCTTTAGGACAAAATTCAAATTCTATTATCATATTTCCCACAACTAAAACATAGGTAATATATTTACTTAAAACAAAAATGAAGAATTTTCACTCTTTACCAGCCAAAATAGCATTCCTTTTGGACCATCAGGATTTCTTTTGCATAAAACTTTGATCTTCAAGTTGAAGAAAATTAAAACTCATTTCATGATGAGCATTCCGTTGGTAGCAACCTTTTAATACTAAATAGTCATAAACACCGCCATATCTCTTGCATATTATTCATTATTTTTTTTATGACAGAATAAGTTTCCATTAATGGAAGGGGAAAGTTTCTAAACTAAGCTTTCATTAAACGATCTTTGTGCTCCGGAAAGTTCTATTCTTTAATCTGTTAGCTTATCGACATACATAGCTTATCCGGAAAGTCCTATATATTAAAAATTATTATAATGGGAAGTTTTTCATGATCCATGCTCACTTGAACAAATCTCAATTAATCTCATTATATTTGGAATTAAGAAAATCCAGTATATAAATATCCTAGCTGGGCTGACTTGACTTAGAAAAGGACAATACACACTGATGAGACAGATTTCACCACCGAGGTTTCAAATCATGACTTCAAAGAAATTGGTCTCTGCCTTTTAACCAGTAGACCAACCCCCCTAGTTAAATAATTGAAATTACCGGTTGCAGTCTAATTATCACTTCTTTTCACGGCTGAGGTTACTGAAGAAATGATTAAAGGTGTAAAATACAACTACAACACTTATAATAATTTCCGTAAACCAACATGCAGCGATGCATTTAAAATATTTTAGATTAATCTGAAAAGTAATCACAGTCAGAAATCAATGCAGATTGATTCAAGAAAAACAACACACTAAGAATATTAAAAATGAAAATCTTAACCAGGGCTTCATTGCATTAATCAAACAAAACTCCAGGATCAGGAACTATCAAAATACCTTGTCCTCTTCAAGTTTTTGACGAATTTTTTCTCTGGCTCTTTTCTCTTCTTCTTTTTCAGCTTTCCTCAAGGCCAATATTCTACAACGGGAAAGATATTTTGCAGTTGAAAAAGGGAACAAGCTTGAGTACAATATCATAATAATGCTTTCAATATCATAAGAACAATTACAGATATGAACAATTCTATCAAACTTAAAAATACCGTAACAAAGACCCAAAAAGTACCTTTTTCTCTCGTTTAATTCCTCGATCCTTTTTGCTTCTAAGAGCTCCTTGCCAATTCGAATTCTCTCCTGGAAAAACAAACACGTTATATTATATATTCAAGTTGTCACAGTCCTTAAAAAGCTAAAAGACCCAGCTTTACTACTTTCACTTTTCCATGGCCGGACTTCTAGTTCAACCACCAAAGTAAAGAAAGAGAAAAGGAGCTTGATTATTAAAAATTAGGACACGAACATGAAAGAAATAAAAGAAATGACAACAAAAAAATTTTAGAATGAAAATACGATAGGTCTTCATCCTAATGTTCCTCATAATTATAATTATTTCTTGAAAGATTTCTGTAAAAAAAAAATGAATGTAACAAAAATACCTTTTCCCTTTCTCTCTCTGCTAGCTTCTCTTCCTCCTCTTTTTTCTTCCGAGCTCGTTCCCTAAAAAATAGTTCACCATATGAGAAACAGAATAGCAAGCAAATTACCAAAAGTTTGCTCGTTCACCTAACAAAACAATGCTAACTGGCAATTATGCAGTCAGAGGAATATTTATGATTCAGTTCATCAGAACTATTTTCCATCCTTCTAGTTGGGTTTTCTTGCCCAAACAATATTTATTGTACTCCCTTTGGACGTTAAAAAAAATTGTAACCCTTATGTAATACAATTTAATTGGAAGTCATTCTTTAAATTTGTTGAATTATGGGAGATATATTATTCTCCCCCTATTTTGTATTCTTTAATTAATTCAATCTTACCCAAAAATAACAGTAGAGTTGAAAATCCAAAGGAAAAAAAAGAACAGAACAATTTAGATCAATGTTGAATTTAACATATAAAAACTGAGGAGATTTTCGAGGGTTAAAAGGATAAAGTTCTCTTTGGATGAGAGGTATAGAACAAGCTTGATGACCATAGGATTTTTATTCAAGTAAAAATAAAGAGATTAAATAAAATTGATTTTAAAGCATTAAAATAAAGCTTGAGTTCAAGAGAACCAGAGAAAATAACATAAACACACAACCAGAATGAGTAACTAGAGGGGAATTTATCGAAATAAGCTTAGTTATACAAACATGCTTCTGTCTATTCAATACTTCCGTCATTTCACTGAGTGACCTACTCTATACCTTAGCTCCTGCTGTTTTGCTTTCAGTTGCTCAGGTGTAAGAGCAGGCTTGGGAGCCTCGACCTTTGTATCCTTAGGAACCTGCAAGATAAATACAAAGTCAGGTGTCATTCCCTGCAATGATTAAAAATGCACACAGGGATGCCATATATCCTATTGGCCTACTGTCTCTGTCAAGATTTTTTTTACTTAGAATACAACAATAT